CCTCCTCCTCCTCCTCCTCCTCCTCCCCCTCCTCCTCCTCTTGTCCAGGACTTGAAAGACCCAGATTCAAATCTTCACTCAGCTCATTATATGGCCTCAGGCCAGTCACTCAGACTAACCTACCTCACAGGATTTTTGTGACCATAAAACTGAGGAAGGGAGAACTATGCATTCATGTAGATATTTATACCATGCTTTGCCATTGGGGAGAACAGAAGGGCAGAAATATCAAAATAAATACATACTTTCCTCCTTTTCCCCATTATCTTTACAACAACAGCCCCTTGAGGTAGATTAGGCAGGTTAGGTTGAAAGAGGGTTGCTGGCCCAAGGCCCCTCCGTGAGCTTCCATAGCCGAGTGGGGATTCAAACCTGGGTCTCCCAGATCCTAGTCTGACACTCGGACCACTTGGCCTGAGTACTTCCAAGGAAGGGCAGGATGAACTTGTGGCAGGCAAGTGTTTAAATTATCACATGAAGAGATTTACAGAGAACAAGAAGTACAAGCAAATGAGATTTAGTTGGGTGGCAACGAGGGAAAGGGTCTTCTTGGTTGTGGCACCAAACTCTGGAACTGTCTTCTCAGGGAGACTCATCTGTCCCCTTCGGCCGCCGTCTTCCACCAGCATTTGCTCCATGATCCCTCCTTCTTGCCCAGTGTTTTAATTGTTGTTTTTATGTTTTTGTACGTGTATTTTAGCTCTGGTTTTAATTGTTTTAATGATGTGGGTTTTGTCGGCTTCAACGGGTTTTAAGATGTGATTTTTTTTATTATGTATGTTTGTGATTTGCTAGCCTTTACAAGAACAGAATAAATAAATGGCTTAGCAACCACGAATGCTGTCCATGGTTCGAATTAGTTGCGGGAGCTGAGTATTTTTACTACCGCTGGTGGGAAGGTTTCCCTCTTCCAAGGACCGCCTTATAGTTCATCAGCATTTGAAATCCAGGGAAAAAAATAGGGGAGGAGATTGCAAAAGAAGGACGGCAAGGGCCTAATGCAGGGAAGAGCTAGATCTGGGGCAAAAGATCTCAAAAGGTAGGAGCTCTTTGGAACAGGAGTCAGAGGAGAAGCAACTGCAGGTGAGAAAATCAGTGGTTGGCTTAGGACCGGTGCCAATCTAACAGCACAGCAGAAGGGGCAGAGCAGAAAAGTTTCCGTCCAGAGGTTTTTTTCCACTACATACTCCCCATTCTCTGTCTTAACTTTGCAAGACCATTCCAGGTCAGGAAAATGGCACAGGAGAGGAGGCGTAACCCATCTCCTTCTGTGACATTGTCCCAGTTTAAACTGGGGATCCACTCACTTGCTCATTTGCAGAAGCCTGGATAGGGCTGCCAAGCCCCCGGTCAGGTTGGGGGAATATCCTGCCTCCGGTTCCCACTGCCCATTTCTGGTCCAAGCAGCAGAAGGAAAAAATAATGCCATGTCACTTCTAGTAAAAAAAAAAAAACCACTGCAGGCGACATAAGGTATCTCTAGGAATGGATGGAAACTCTATGATAAAACCATAGCGTTTCCAATGATTCCTGTGGCTCGAGGAATCATTAGAAATGCTATGCTTTTATCAGAGTTTGCAGCAATTCCTAGAGCTACCTATGTTCCTTCAGTTTTGTTTTGTTTTTCCCCTGGAAGTGACATGAATGATGCTGCAGTGGCTATCACTGCTGCCCCAACTCCCTGCGCACAGACCTCTTGTTGGTTACCAGGCACTGTCTGGTACCCCTATCCCCATTGCCAATAGATTATGGGTATGTATATGAGAGCTTTGTCTTAATGTCAGTCCACCCATTACATAAAATGCCAGTCTCTTGCTTCCCTCCCCTCCCACCTCTTCTTCTAACAAACCTATGAACTGGCTCGCCACTTGAGATCTTCAAGCATTGGTTTTAGAGTTGTCACCAGGCCCAGGGGAAATGTCATGTCCCTTTAATTGAGCCTTAATATATAGAAACGGTCAGTGGAAGATAAATAAAGGAGGTAAGTAACATTATCGGGAAAGCAAGATCTAATTAAGCCACTATTATATGGACAGGACAGTGCAGACTCTAATATGGGAGAACCAGGTTTGATTCCCTACTGCTCCACATGCAGCTGCTGGTGTGACCTTGGGTCAGTCATAAGTTCTTTCAGAGCTGTTCACTCTGGAGCAGTTCTCGAGAGAGCTCTCTCAGCCCCACCTACCTCACAGGGTGTCTGCTGTGGGGAGGGGAAGGGAAAGGAGATTGTAAACCGCTCTGAGACTCCTTTGGGTAGTAAAGGGCAGGGTATAAATCCAATCTCTTCTTATTCTGATTAATACACATTTTTTAAAAAATTGTTGTGTGTTGGTGCTGTTGGTTTTGAAAACATGTTACTAACCAAGATTAAGATTTTGTAATTGCTCTTGGAAGGATGAAAGTATCAAGGGACGAGGGGAGGGCATGATTTTCCCATTTGGCTTTTCAAGCAATTCTGTTGAGCCCTTGAAAAATTTCTCAAAGTATGTTCAAGCAATCAAACAGAATGCTCGCAAAATTCAAACACTTCTGTAAACACAAATTGGGATTTGGCCAAGTAGCTTCATTCTGGAATGGAAGCTGCAGGATTAATAGCATAGTTGTTTTGTTTCTTCTTTTTTTACCCCAGTTACTAGGCGAAGAAAGATTTCAAGACATTGAAAAAATTAAGACCATCGGCAGCACATACATGGCAGTATCTGGATTATCTCCTGAAAAGCAGGTAAGAGGTCATTTCAGTCCAACAGCACAGAGATATAATGTCTTTGACCCAATTGCTTATCTGAAGTAAAGGATGCCAGGATCCATTTTATACACACGCAAAATGGAATTAACGGGAAGAAAGCAGACCTTTGTACTCATCTGACGTTTCTGGGGGTTCCATGAAAACTCTGACATCTGCTTTATCAAAGGATGCACCTTGTGCATCGATAGATGATTGGCATCTTGGTAATTATTACTGTTAATATTCCAAATGTTGTTATGTAACATTAGTATGCAATCTGATAATGTCAGAGCTTGCAGACACCCTGGTGAATATGATTTGCAGTATGTTCAGGGCAGCTGAAAGGCCTTTTCCCCAGATTCATAATTAATTTGCAGAATTCACCACAGACTACAAGCTTAGATGTCTTAAAAGGGATTAAATTCCTAGAGGATGCATTGTTAGATCTGTGGTCCCCACCCTATGTTAGGTGTGACAGATGGATGAGTAGCAGTTTCTCCTCCTTTATGGTTGCACTTGCAATGACCAACTTGGGTCAGGACCATAGCATGTATAGAGGGGCTTCAGTCCCCCAACCCATGTACTGTTTCCCCAACTTCCATCAATCCTGGATGTATACAATTCGACCTATAGGGGAAATCAACATATTTCCCAAGAGGCATGTGGGTTTCCTCATATAACACAAACACACACACATGCACAGAGATCATTTCAGGCGGAGGCGGAGGCGGAGGAGGAGGAGGAGGAGGAGGAGGAGG